AAATTTTGCAGGTAGCTTTTTAATAGTAATAGGAATCTATAATAACAAATTCAACATGCTAGCATTGTTTAAGTATATAGCCTATACATTCTTAAGTAGACATGCCTACGTATCGAATCTATCCATCGAATTTGATCCCTTGCATGTTTCAAAGGAGATACGCAATCAACTGGTCGATAGGCTGTACGGTGTTTACAATGCTTTTAAGACGCACCTTGTAAGCAAATATGCATCGAAGGCCACTGTAACAGAGGCGCAATGAGTCTATTTTCATTTCGCATGTGCTATGCCATGCGTTCGCGCGTGTCGTGAAACCTAATAATAAAATTAAAGAAACACAATGGAGCCCGTGAATTGGTTCGTAAACATCGACATCCGTCCGATAGGATCGATCGATTAAGTGGGATTGGATGTAAGTACTCGAGAGAAAGAAAGGAAAGACGATTCTCTCTCGTTTTAAAAAAATTCCGAGTGATCGATTTCTAATCTACTCCATAAACGCGTCGAACACAAATGGACCACCTTAACAAAATTAAGTCTTTAAAAGAGCACATACACAGTAAGCGTTACATGCCGCAAGTTGAAGCTTCTAAATTATTGTGAAATCGATATTTGCACCCTCCCAATCGAAACAAGGAAGTCTCTGAAATAGCAGCCAAACAAATACTAATCGCTCGGTAATTTTCACAGAAAACGCATTGTTAACGTAGAACAACTTATCTAACAGACGCATAAGTGACTGTTAATGATAAGACGTATATATAGACGCGATACACGAGGGTCGTAGAACATTTCGCACGCCGTCGTGCCGCAAACAACTGATTTAGACGTTATACGTGAGCATTGTGCGGGATGAAAACGGTCCGCGTGGAAATTAGCATGAGAAAACGTTTCGGAAGCAGGATTGAAATGTATGGGGCAAACGGGCATAAGTCAATGTGACAAGCAGGACTTGGCGGTGTCGAGACGTTGCGCGTCGCCGTCGTGTCACGCTGTGACATCTTCCTGTCGGATTGATACAATCCCAGAGGGATCTATATTTACCCGTATAGTATATGCTCGGACTGAACATTTTACAAATTCAGTAGATAAAAAAACAATTCAACGTATTATTATTCTGTACAATAACGAAGCGCGACGAGGATTTATAGTAGACGAGACATGTATTGTATTCCCGGTAAAACTTTAAATGGAAATGTTTGGATCTCGCGTCGTCGCACGGACCCGGCATGTAATTGATGTCTGTTGTACTCAAATAATATTCTTGTTTTTAGCCTAGATAAAACAAAACTATGGAGATGTGAATACGTTTTAGGATTTTTTTTATTATTAAAGATTGGTTGAAGGATTAGAACGAACCATCAACATCGAATTACTAGATACATTTCAGTGAAATTCTTTTCTATATGATAATTAATTTTTATCTTGAGTTCAGTTATGTGCATCAGTCATTGAATCCGATGGATTACGCTCCCTCAGCTATGTTAAATGGGTAACTTTGATAGATTGATCGTTGACCGATAATGTCGATTGATCGATAAATTTGTTAGATTTGATTGTAGGTAGACTGCTTGGCCACTGCCGCAACTAACCACCTCTTGTTGATTCGTTACAATTTATATCAACTGCTAAATGAATTGCGATTCTTAATATAAATTTCAAACAAGTATTTAATTAGCTTTTTATTAACCATGAACGCTTTTACATGTATCCTCAATAATTCTACAAAAAATTGTTCAATTCAATGTTGATTAATATTCATGCAATAATAAATTACAATAAACAGGTTGAAAAACATTCTCTTTAACGAAGTATTAAAGATTTTATATTAGAAATGCACTAGTTTAGAATTTATCAATTTTGTCTTGAATGCCCATTTTATCGATCGATCACGGTGGTCAAAAACTAGTAGGAATATAGTGATTAAAAGTCGACGATTTCGTGTGCGAGAGAAAGAAATCGCGGTCGGACAATACACGATGTGTAAGCGACCCATCTAACGCGAACGTATCGCGCGCTATGTCAGTAACGGCAGAATACATCGTATGAAACGTGAGATGCTCGTTAGTCTCGTTCCAGGTGGCTCGTTATCACTGGTAGCAGTGTGTCAAGTATCACATAAGTTAGCCTCAACGCGTGACACTCGTGTAATGCCTAGTAAAGGGAGAATTATGAAAGAGCCTCGTCATTCAGTAAAAAAACGGGGCGGGAAGTGCAGCAAGGAAGATTCATCTGATCTGGAAGATCTATTGATACGACCCACCCCTGCGTTATTCTCAAATTCTGAAAACAAAGCGCGATGCAACCTGGGGTGAACGGTGGATCTCGTCTGTCACGTGCGCATCCAGTTTACGATCGATCGCGTTAAACAGACGTTATGAAACAGATAATGTGATAATGCTTTAATATTGACCATGTTAATAATTGCGATTAGTTCTTTTCAGACTCGAATGTCAATGCTGATTGTGAGTGTCACTGTACATGTATAAACAGATAAGTCGATTGAATCTTACTTCTCAAAGTAAACATTTGTTTTAATAATCTCTAGAAGTCCAATAACTTTCGCCTTCATCATGAAGAATTAAATTCTTGGTATGAAGATATCTTAATGTGTTTAAAAATTCATAAAAGGAATTGTACATAGATGAAATTCGACTCTATGTCTTGCGCTAGTAATATTAGTTCAATCATTTAACGCGAATATTTGCAACCTAGGCAAAATACGATGGTCGTTTCAGCAGTTAAGAGCACCGCTGGGACCGGTCAAAAATATCAACTTTCTTTTTTGGCCTAAAATGTTTTTTATACTATTAAACATAATATGCGAGTATTCGGAGCTCTATATCGCACGTGAAAATAGAAATTGTTGGAAAAACCGCGTCTTCCCTCAACGATGTCCATTAGGGTCAAGTGAACCTCGTATAATCAAAGTTGATCGATAAAAGTTGGGATTGGTTCAATGTCGACGGCAAGATATAAGTTAATTCGGGGCATGTATGTAGTAACGCGTTTGCACAGTGTGGGATTAAATCCCGGAAGGAGGCCGCGTATCCCGGCGAAAATATTTAACGTGGAATTAGTGGGATAGAAACGCGGCTATAATCTGCGACCTAGTGATGAAATTATGGTAATACAACTCGTTTACTGCAACTCGACGTGCGGTGACATCTCAGATTTAGTAGACGCGAGCGTCTCAACGACGGAGTGGCAAAAACGAGCAAACGGATATCTAGAGGAACGAGAATTTGCGAAATTCGTGAGACGCGCATTCATTAATATAACAGTAAACTGTATAATTACTAATACAGTAGTAACCGTTACCAACAGAACTCTCGTAACTCACCTATATTTTCAGATTTCTTTCGAACTTTGCCAATAAAGTCATGTTTCATTATAGTCATATATCAAGAAGATTATATAACGCGTACGATATATTCGTAAAAGTTCTCTACCTAAGTATCCGAACACTTTTACGAGCAATTGTACGTAGGTATATATCGCACGGACACGCGACATTTATCCCGCGATTCCTGTTTACTTAACGTTCGGATTTGGCACGGCACAAGCCTGGCAATAATCGACTGACACAAAGCGGCAGCAACGTTACGGAATTCATTCGTCTTATTTTTTAGCCTCTCGATCGTTCGCTCAATTACACGAGTAACGACGAGCTCGATGATGAGACGCGGTTTCGCATAATCGCAGAAAACCAAGGGTAACGAGTCGTTTGAAGTCGTTTAAAAGAAAACTGAATTTGCATCCAGCGCGGAGGGCATTCGGCGTCATTATCCCGACGGGAATGGGAAGTCTCAGAGAGGTTGTTGCGGCCGGGTATTATGATAATCGGCCGGTACTCCCAGTGACCTACCAGTCGTCTGCTTAGGATGCTCAAAACGGCGGATAAAAGCGACTGCACATGATCTTTACAGCCACTCGAACATTAGGTCTATCGAGTCATTCGGTTGTGTAATTCTTGGCACGCTGTGCACTTCTCGTTGTTCGCTCTGTGTTTCACGTATCGTACACAACCAAAGTTGCATTGTACACAGCCGCTGGGAGCATTATTTTACTCTAGTCTTATCTAAAGATCGTGAAGCGCTTGTGCGTCGGTGCTGGTCGTGTTTTCGTGGTCACGTTTTCGTTCGCATTCTTCTAGACCCACGTTTGTATCTTCGAATATCGCGGTTGAAAATTTCATGTTGAATATCAACGACCAGTCGTAATAATTTTTACATAATATCATAGTTGCGAAACAGAGGCAGGTGTGCATGAGGGAAGCGATAAAGTTTAAACATGACGAATTGTCATTCGATCTTCTTATATGTATCTAGATCTCTTCTCAATGTAGAAAGCGGTATAAAAATAAATACGATTTTTCTCGACAATATCTGAGTACGTTCTAGAATCGACTTATTATTCCGCCGGTCGCTAGCGTATAATTGACAGATAATGGAACTGTTCGCGATAGGAACTTAATTAAAGGTTCGAGATGCTTGTTGTTCTCGCGTTGCGTAGGAACAAAATTTGATTTCGTCATCGTTCAGCAGTGTTTCAAGGAAGTTACCTCGAATATCATCTTCGAATTCTTCTTTCTTATTTGCAAGGTGTTGCATTCTTTCCTGGTGGTGACTCATGGATTTTCTTCTTCCAACATCTCGTTGTTTTCGCGAATGAATTTGACGTTTCCTAGAAACGCATTCATTCAGTGCTAAGGAAAGGAGTCGCGTAATTGGCGCTTCGTAGTAGGTAGGTAAGTAGTGATTGTGATATGTACTACGTGCCGCGTCACACGGTTTTTCCATCACAACATAATTAAGAATCTTTGTCACGTGCCAGTTAAGCGTTTCCAAGTTACGATTTCCTTAATACGCCCATTGATGTTCGATTATTAATGAACATCCTTACGATTAATCATCAATTCCCATCATAGAATTCATTGATTTATTAAAGTTTTCCGAGTAAGGATCAATTAGAATAATTTGAAAAAATATGTTTGCTTCGAAGGAACTAGAAGTAGCAAATTCTCAATATATTCTCGAGTGGGTATTAATTTCCCATTAAGTTTACTTTTTCTCTTCAGGACTAAAATTTACAACTTGTTTTCTATGAGGATCATCCTTCGCGGTTAAAAATAGAAATAGTGTTGTTTATCCTTCCTAGTTAAACACTACGTGCATCTAGATACTTGTAAAACAATAATATATAATTATGTACGAATTGCATAAATCTATGGTACATTACAGAACTGACTTAACGATTGCCACAAGTCGGCAATAAGACTATAAGCTACAATCAAAGTCATTCAGATATGATGTTGCAGTAAACGTATCAATCTTTGAGCTTACATTTTTTATCGAAATTCGATGAAATAACAAGTTCGCACCTGCAGTCATTCAAGGCTCTCAGAAAGTTTTACCTGAGTCACATTCCAACAAGAAACCCAATGCAAAAAATAGAACTTAAAATCTGTGATCACCGTTTACCAAAAGAAGCAAAATTCACGGAACCATGACTGCGACTCAAAGTTCAAGAATCCCGGAAACCAGTGTCGAACAACATCAGCGAAAAAAAGCCGATGCTAAGTGTAACGATTAGACTGCAAATTCTCATGGGCGCGTCTGCGGCTGAAGACGGCTTTAAAATAAAGTATAAGTTTGCAGTTTAAAGAACGAGCTGACACCCATCAAAATCCACCGACACCGAAGGGAGAGCCGAGATCGTAAAAGTCCGAATTACGATTGAAAGTCGAAAAGTCTGAAAGAAACCTCGAAGAAACCCGTTTGGAACGGTAGTTTTTGCACACTTGGAGAGTCGGTGTTCGGGAGTAACTGCAATCCGCGCCGGGAACACGTGTACGACGACGTGGGTACGTGGTGCTCGTATAAGCTGGTACAGAAATTGAGAAAGGAGCGACGAGGATGGTGCGGCGGCGGTGAAGGCGGCAGAAGAGGTGGCGGAGGAGGGGGAGGCGGCCTCGAAGAGAAGAAGAAGAGGATTTCAAAGCGCGTCGGTATCGAGAGTGTGCGAGCGAGCTAGGAAACGGGCCGACCCACGACACGACTCGACGCGACGCGACGGGGCGGCTTCGTGGTGGGGTGTCAGCCGCGGCTTATCTGGCGACTTTATGTATATTACGATGCCCAAGGCAGGAACACGAGCAGTTCACTGCTGGCTAACTGGTCGGAGAAGTCGGCGAGGCCGAGTCTGAGCCCGGCGGCCCGGTTCATCCATAGAAACGTGTTCGAGAGCTAAGCGACGCCGAAATTAAGAGCGTTCCGACGCGCACGTATCCCGCACGCGCACACATTTAATCCAGATAATATACATCTATACACGTGCGCACGTCGAGTGTATATTATACACAAACGTACACAAGGAGAGAGAGAGAACATCAAACGTTGACCTACCTATCGGAACAATTACGGATACCGCCCTGTGTATACCGGTCAGGTGTGCGCGAAACCGTAGCCGTGGTGGAAGCTCCAGCCGTTTCGGAGTTTGGCAAGCTGATCGAGACGCTATCGGTACTCCTCAGTGATCACTACGATTCAGGATGATCGTTCTCGCGTGGTCCTTATTCGTGGTGCTTTCGTTACTCGTCGCGACGAACCAGGCCTTTGTCGCAGCTCCTGCACCAGGTACTGACAATTCGTCTTTCTTTTTAATTTGCTGATCACCAACTTGTGCTTGGAAGTTGCGTTTGGAAACTGTTAAGTACTATTATCAAACATATTGTTTCACGAATGATCTATGCATTTAAAGTTGATGCATATTTAGACGCGTAATCATTTCTCAGCTTTTTAACTTGTCGGGCTAAAGTCACCTGTTAAATTCTGTTTGTCCCGCACTCACGCTTCAACTGATCAACCAAATCAAGAATGAAAATAGAGCGATCATAGCACGGAAAATAGGAAAATTTCACTGTTTCACACAATATTTGATCAACGGTTTTAAATTATAAATTCTTATGAACCGAGAATAAGTTCTTAACAGTTGGAGAAAGTGTACAAACTCGTGTGAGAACAGTTTCTATTAAGTACACGACGTCTCATAGAGCCGCGGTGTTAGGTACATTTGCGAATACATATTACATCCGGCAGAGTTAATACTACATTGTCAAAGTTCTCGATGATTATTTGGGAGACATTGCACGAAGAGAATTGCGATGTACAGAGGGTTCGCTCGCACCGGCGGTGTTTTCACGTGGTGTCTCCAGTTGAATTTTCGCGTACGCAACGAGACACGTTTCCCTTTGGTCAGGTGAAATAGCACCCAGGAACTGGTTTCTCCGAAGCTTCTGGCAAACAAACGTGACTTTCTCGCATGGTTGATAAGACGGGCGAGTGTGTAAATATTGAGAGGATTGACATTTATATAAATCGAAAGGAAACGTTTGATTTTCGTGGATGGAACCGTAGTTGCGGATTCGCGATATCCGGATTCGTAATATCCGATGATTTTTCGTTATCGTAAACACAGTTGATCTTTAGACAGATCTGGGACGACGAAGTTGATTAATGTCGGCGAAAGTGTATAAATTAGTGTGAAAATTACATTGATCAACCATTTCGTACAAACGTGTGTATTAAGAAAAAAGGATTGAACGTATCATTATTAGTATCAGTGACTACCGCGGTTCTAAAACTTGTATAAAATATAAAATCTAATAAAAATTGCATACGGCACAGCATCGATCAAATAACTGTTCCTTTTTTCCCTATTTCATTTCGTTACTAATTCGTACTCTGCATTGTTTCTTCTATTGAAAGAGCACGTGAGTGAACTATTTTGAGTGCGGCGTCCCTCAAAGTGTCGGAGCGTATCTTTATAAAATTGAACCGTTCGACTTCTCTTTCATGAAAGTCCCGTTAAAAATAGACAAGCCGGTGCGCTCACCGAGAAAGGCTGATCAACAAACGGGCCGTTTCATTCTGAAATTGCACATCGCGCGCGGCCTATATGGCAAATAGATTTAACTTCCGCGGATCGTTGGCCAGGAAGAGATGTGACACCTCGGCATACGGTTTGAGAAGTTGCCACTGGTCAATATGCATTTATCATGAGCTTTTACCCAGAAGCTTCAATCGAGAGAAGGAATGCTGTCCAATTTTCGTCGGCTTTCATGCAATTGAGAAATAGTAAGTCCGTAATTCGAATTATTGATAACGATATCTGTGATAAAAATAACTGTATCGAATCAAATATCGGTTCGCGTTATCTGGCTAGATTACAAATTTTATAACGACTTACACGATTTACGGTTCGTTTCTTCGACTTTACTTCATATAGATTTATCTTTAGACCTATAAAGCATTTACGATTATAGTCGCCGCAATAAAAATTAGTCTGACAGTCGGATTATGGCTCTCTGTGGCGATCGATGCCACTCGAGGAACCAAGTGACGTTTGATCGCTATTTCTAGAGACGTTTATTCGATGTAAGAGGCGTCTGTCAATGATCTTATTCAATCATTCATGTGCTCGTGAATGTCGTTATAGAGACGGCAAATCTTTAAGCTTCTGTTCTCGCATTAGACGTTCTCTCGTGGAATCAGAAATTCTGTCCTTTTCTCGGATAATTTTCAAGGACCCCGGTTCCTGTGAGAATTAAGCGGAACGCTCGAAAAAAGTAAATCATCATGTTCTCGGGACCTTTCACTACAAAGTATACAAATGTCGACGTAAGACTCTCATAACTCGGATTATATTTCGCGAATAAAGAGTACTTTTAAATTGCCACGTAATTCGCGAGTCACGGATTTCCCGTTTTAAAAACCCTGACGCGTTTCGCGTTTTATGTTGTCCTAATCTGTTACCGCTTACCACTCGCGAGCAAAAATATTATCATCTTTCGCTTGTAAACCCAGCGTACAGCGTACGTATTTTAAAGGAGACAAAGTGACTTTCCTGAACAAGAAGAAAGAAGTGGAACTCGCGAGTTGCGTATCCAAGCATTTTGGAATTTCCGGTATAAAAACTGGGCGTACCTTTTTCCTGAATATTTCTCATGTTTCCCGTCTGTTAGTTGGTTACTCTGAATTCAACAATTTTTACTCTTCTCTCCGAAATCGTTAAAAATTTGTCCATAACCCAGGGTAAAAGGATCAATACCAGCAACAATGCACACTGTTTTTTATCTACCACGCAATACTTTGACTTTTACCCATACGTCATTCCATTTCATCAGATACCTCACGCATCGAGAACCTTCTGATTACGCAAACATAAAACCGTCGAACGTGTCGAGATGCACAAAAGAAAGTGAGAAAGGACACACCTATGCAACTTTACATCCTACGATAATTGCGCCCGGGTTCAATGATTCTCATCGATTAACGCGCTACGTTTCGTTCGCATGAGGACGCGCTCGTCGTGCAAACAAACGCCGAAAACGGAGGTAAAAGAAAAAGGGATGAAAGAAGGAAGGAAGGAATAGAGCGACGAAGAGAATGCGCATGAATTTGATTTTACGTGTTAATTACACCGGATGCAGCCACCGGTTCGCGGGCCAGGGGCGGTAGTTAAATACTCTGGCCCGATCGATTCGTTTACCTTAATTGTCGCCGGTTATCCGTTAACGAGCCTGTCGTTTTCTGTCAGCCCTATTGGCAGCCTGCCAGTAGCCCTTTTAAACCCACCAGCGGACCTCGATTGGATATTGTGGTAAACTGCTGCAGCTGCAGAAAAGCTTTGCATGCGCGCTTGCATGCATTAAGGGCGAGATCGTCTAATAGTCTAACCCTCTAAACCGGTACCAGAAACAATAAATATCGAAACGATGCCGCGTGGGAAAACGTGAAGAATGAATGATCTCTAAATTTCTTTTTTCCCTAATATCCGCTCTGTAATGATCTCCAAACTTAATCAGGCGTATCGTGAATATCAAAGCCCTTCGCACACTTGAATTCGAAACCTAAACTACACTATGTGCATTGAATGAGATTCTAGCACAATTTACATCCGTCGTAACGATCGATCGAACGATAAACGCGAATTACTCAGGTGTCCGATTAATCGTCGTTAATTCAGCTAGCGTAGAACGGCGTCTGTTCGATTATTCTGAAGAGCTATCTATAGAATACACGACTGGGCGCAGATGTGTTGCAACTTGATCGACGAAAAATCTAGAAGACCAACGATTGGTGAAGTATTTACTGTGAACACGGCAAACACTGACGTTCTCTTCTACAACCATCTTTCTCTCGTTCATACTTTCCTTCTGTTGACCTAGCCCGAGCCGGCTCTCGCGAGTATGAACCTCTGAACAAGAAAAAAGACGAATCATTTGTGGAAACGTCAATCATGTGCAACTCGGGCGGATTGCGACACGATAAATGAACGCGATAACACCATGGCTTTATCATCGATCATAAATTGACGTGCAACGAAAATGCCCGTGGCTTATCTCTTTTAGCTCCTGATGTAATGACTGAATTTTCTGAAGGGTTAATCTTTACATTCGTATTTCAACCACGTTTTCTTTCAACGAATAATATTGTACTAACATTTACTGATAATGAAGATTTCAATACCAATCTAAATTCCAAAGATTTCAAATCGCCTCCTTCGTTCTACTAGCCGCGTGACGAATTTATTGTCACAACTACTTTGAGTCTAGTACCTTTCAAGCATCGTGCGCGTTAGATCAACAATATTATTTGCGTCGATAACGCCACCAGTGATTCTAATTGATTCGTTCCAAGACGCCATTCGGAGATATTTTTCCTCGACTCGGGATGAGGAGGATCTATAAAAATGAGTAATCTTGCCTTCCATTTTACATACTCTGCGGGAAGCTTACAGACTTTGCACACTGACTTTTATTTGTGCCTACCAAGAACTCATTACGGGGATTAGCGCTAATCGCTAATTCGGTTCTCGAAGCAGTCGGCATTCCGCGTAAGGTTTACGCAACCTTTTGTACTGTTCATGGCTTTGTTCTTCGAGTAAAGTCCCGTAGAATCGGCGAAATATGAAACGTAATTATCATGTGAGATTCGTAAATGGGATTTAATATATATTACTATTCTACAAGTGCGTACGTGAGAATGACCTATAAGTATGGTATCTATAAGTTACACTTCATTCGTTTCGAAAAGAGAATCAAAGTTGGTGATATTTCTGTTTAGGACGAAATGTTTAACTGTCCATTACCGGAGATGTAAAAAGATATTGACTCAAGTTAATGACATAATTAATAATTCTTCGTATGACGAAACCAGAAATATGATTATCGAAATCGTTTTAAAAACGTGACTTAAACCACGTATACAAATGTAGGCAGTTTTCGAGCTCAGAGAGGCGTATGAATTTTGGAAATACCTAATATTAGAGAATGAAGTAATTTGCAGCAGGGGAATGGAAATCGGTTAACGAAGTCGCCTATTACAGATTTCTAACTGCTTCTAAGAGGCTCTAACTAACGGGTTAGCTACGAAAAAAAAGAACCCGTTGATCTACCAATGGCGTTAACGAGCCACGACTTGCTGGAAGTGTCTCGATTTTAGAACAGCGGAAACGACGCCGATAATGAACGCCCTTAATCAGCACAATACGCTGTACGATTTCCAGTTTAGTTCTATTCTTAGCTCTGGTTCCATTAACGCGTATACAAGACAATAGGGTTTCAAACCGTGAT